AACAGCAGAAGCACGAAAAGGTATCAAAATGGACAAGATCAAAAACTGTTTTGAGCAGTGAAAAAAGTGTCTTGATAGGTGTACTGCATCAAATGAGGTATACTTTGAAGGTGACTGAAACATAAACATGTAAGGATAAATACACAATTTTGTATAAATTCCAGGTTTTTTGGGGTTCCCCCTCATGGAACCAAAGGAACTGGAGTTAGCAAACCACCACACAATCCGAGCACAAAGGTACAGCTGTTCAAATGTGTCCAGGTAAGCTAAGGAGGAAGAAGAAAGTTTCCAGCCCCTAATGCTGAAGTGCATGACAAATTGGGCACCATCTACCTCAATCCTCGAGATTTAGCTTCGTCTTTCTTCATTCCACCTTCAACCTGGAATTTCTGAAACTGAGATTCACTCAAGGTTCACTGTGGACCTTTACAATGGTAGCTACTGAAACAGATGAAATGATAAGGAGTCTTTTGTATAGAGAGGGTAACTGCTGCGAACCAAACATTCTGACTTCCGCATATGTCCTCTAGGACTAGGCGGCCAAGTCTCAGGGTGCGGAGCAAAAAAAGGAAAGAAATCGAATGATTTTCTTCTCCACTCGTCTAAGTGAAAAATGTGAAGAGCAAAATGTCTCCTCCCCATGCTGTGCCTGTCAGCACATTTCCAGGAGGCCTGGCCACATCCCGGGCACGGGCTGGCCGGGAGCAGAGACTGACACAGCACATTCGCTCACATGGAGACCCTGCCTGGGTGGTCTGCTGTTATCCCTTTGATTAAACTCCCAGCCTGGAAGAGCTGGAGTTGCTCCTAATGATAGCTGGGTCCTGAAATCTCACACGTGCAAGCATGGAGTAGCCATGCTCCCTGCCTCTCACTCCTCACCACAAAGCTGGGCGAATTCGCCACATTCTTCTGTTCACTTGTGGCAAGAACCACAAAGGGCTCCATCTGCTTGGAGTGCCACACTCCCTGCCAGCACTGAGCGAGGCCGAGATAGTGAGACCTCACACTGAAGCTCTACCCTAGCACCCTACTGGCCACCACACCACTCCCCCAACTCCTCCTCAGGTGCAAGGTGCTTCTAGAAAACCCTGCTTTCAAGGACATACAACATCCCCTACCCCCAATTTAGATGCAAGTTGCTTCTAGAAAACCCTGCTTTCAGGGACATACACACCCATTTCCAAAAGATCCCATCCCTGAAAGACAACCAGCCTCTCACGTGCTCAGATTTGTAAGGTATTTGTTGAATAGTTCCAGGTTGAGAACATATATCCCTTTGTTTTCAAGTGCCACCCTTGCACAGTTTCTAGTGGCCACTGCTCAAATGGCAGGGAATGTTGGATAACCTTATGTGTTCTAGGCTGTAAACTAAGCTAAGTCATGGCAGAAGCAGTAACTTGCCAGGTAAATGAGGTTCTATTTTTAGCCTATAAATTCCTTAAGAGTCTAACCTTTAATGTAAACTCTGGGTCCCTCAAAGTCTTATTATCAAATTTTGGGGTTGCCAGAGCACTTTGCTTCTTTACCTTGGCCTAGTTCACTGTTCCTCAGTCTCTTCATCAGCGAGCAGGGAGGAAGAAGGGATGACTCTGCCTCGTCCTCAGATCCACCCTCCTCCCAGCTGCCTGAGTGATGCAGCTAAAAGGCAAAGCAGCTGTGTCAGGGCTCCCCATCCCCTCTAAGAGGAAGGATAAGTTCCTTCATTGGACATTCAAGCCCTTCCTAAACCAGCCCTTGCCTTCTGGGCCACTTCAGTACTAGCTACCCTCTGCCAATACCCCATTCTAAAACATCATACACAGCCCGTTCTTTCCCCTCATGACACAGTTGGTTTTTATTCTGGAAGCTACTCCTACCTCCTTCTACCTCCTGCCTACTTTAAGATTTAGTTTAGGTATAATCTCTTCCAAGAAGGCTGTGTTGGTGTGTTTCCCACTGCAACCCACAAGCTGGCCTACGGGTCCCTTTCAGTGGTAGTTATTCCCTAAGAATATCTCTGTTGTATATTCTGTGCTATTATTATCATCTGTTTATGCAGCTGTCAACTTGATAAGATAAATTATTTCATGCTGAAGACTATGTCTTATATCATCCCCATGGCTCAGTACCAAAGCCTGGAACACTCTTAAGAACCTAGTAAAATGTTTTTAAACACACACATAAATAAACATAATAAACAAAATAAAATGGAGTCAAAAGTTGTGCAAATGCTATTTAAAGCTTTAATAGGCTAAGTAGTTGAAATTATAGGAAAAATAAAATGATTTTTCAGAAATATCTAGTGATTTCAGTTTTCTATGCTCATCTTCCAAAATAACACAAATAATTTAAAATTAACTTTTTTATTTAGTAGGAAGTCCTTGCCTAGAACAGCAATTAAAGGTATATACATTTATGGGATATACTTAAAGCAATGCTCAGAGACAAATTCCTAGCTTTAAATACAGTAAAAAACAAGAATGAATGAAAATAAATTAAACACCTAACTTAAGAAATTGGGTAGAAAAATCAAAATAAAGCTAAAGAAGGCAGATAGAGGGAAGTAGTAAAGATAAAAACAAGAAAATAATGAATTAGAAAATAATAAAATAACAGAACGAATAAATACATCTAGAATTAATCTTATTACAAGGGAGCAGGGGAGAAAATATTCATTAAATCCATCAGAAAAAGAAAAAAAAAAAGCACAAACAGAAAATACGAATTGAAAATAAGGAACTAATCATAGGTAAGAGGAAATCAAAAGCATTTAAGGTGATTACTAGACACAAAGTTTCTTCTGATGACAGTCAAGTGTAAGTGCACAAGCCCAAGTCCCAAGGGAAGAGCAGTGCACCCACCACTTTCTGAGGGAAGCCACCTCTCTAGACAGTCACAGACCTTGTGCCACTTGCCTCAGTTAGTAGGAAACTAAAGCAACTTTCTTTCAAACACAGCTAGAGAAAAAGGAAACTGTTAGTAAACAAAAGTACCAGAGCCTGAATTAAACCATTATAACATGTTATTAGTTATTAACTGGAAAAAAACCAATAAATGATAGAATTTTCCAAATTTCAAATTAAAGGATTATTTTCTTTCAAGGGAAGGGGCTGAATAATATACAACCTAGCTTTTCAATAACAAAGTACATTTAACCTAAAAACTTACTTTTCTCAAATCAAATGAGAAACTATTTTGAAAGTCTTTATGGCTGAAATAACAGTATTTTCCGAATATATGGCACAAATACAAGTTATGCATACTATCCTCACGACCCTGTTGTATTTTCCCCATTAACCAATGAAGAGCCTGAAGTTGAGAGACCTTGATCGAATTGTCCAAGATCACACAGCGAGTCAGTGGCAGAAGAGCACAAGTCTCTGAATGGCTATTCTGGCTCTTTTCCCACTACTCCACCCTGCTTATTACATGCAACAGCACCTCTCTCAGTACTGTACCAAGCACTAACCACCTTATTACCGAGACTCTAAAAGTTAAGGCTGACATCTAATGGCTAGTTCAGATCCCTATGAATAGGAGTCTGACAGACTTTAGTTCACTGGCACTGAAGTTCTTTTATAGATGGGAAGTTGGACTGAAGGGGCATGGCTGCCCAGTTAGGATACGTTCACCTTGGATTCATTCCTATACGAGCATCATCTTCTCATTTTGTAGGCTTTTCAGTATAGCAAATGACAGGAGTGGAAAGTAGGTTAAGCCCTAAAATTGGCTATTTTTTTACTGCAATCATTAGATCTCTTGTTGATGTCTTGGTGCTTCTAGCTGTCCATTTATAAATTGGAAACATATATTCTAGTCAGTGACTCAAAGACAAAAGTGTAGCAGATTACTGGCCTCTACCTTGTTTCATAGCCACTTCACACTTTAAAATTCTTTCCTGTCCTACCATGACCATGATATTCGATTCCCTTTTCCCAACGCTCTATTGCTAAAATCTAACTAACTCCCTTTAAGACTCAACACTGCCCTTGTAAAATTCCTTGCTTCCTCTTTCATATTTTATACCTCTTTATCTACTCCCTTCAAACTACTAGGGATTTGAAAAAGAAAATAATCATTGCCTCACAAACTGGGATGAAGCTGAAGGACATACAGCTAAGTGCACAGAGGTTTACCTTTAGTTCTGGTCCTACATTTTTCACAGGAAAGTAGGATACCACCAGAGAGCAGTATGTTGCCTACTTTTAGCATGTACTTAAAGTAATTTTCAGCTTCACTTTTGTCTAGACTCGATTATCATTACAGAGTAACCACCAACTACAGAACCTGACACAACAGAGCAAAATGGAACTATGGAGTTAAGTTATAATAATTCCTTTGGAAGACTTTGATACCATTCAGCATTAAGGAAGAGATATGGCTTCTCCTTCAATTAAACACCACAGGGATAGGTGGCAAGAAGGACAAAGGGAATCCACAAAGCTCCTGAAAGTGTCATCTTACGTTAGCTTGTTAATATATGTATAGCATAAAGCCAATATCCTGTTAACCAATTCGATTCATCCAGCTTGCTGAATGACCTTGATCACATCACTTTCAGTCTCAATTTCCCCCACATGTAAAATGAGGACAATGATACATACTGGATAAGGGTATAATAAAATATTACATTAGTTACCCATAAAACATCCTGAGATCATGAAATGAAAAGCAATACAGAAACAAAACAAGACAAAAAACTTAAAGGTAATGCTATAAGATTCTGGTGAAAGCATTTATAACATTAGAACTCACTGGACATTTTTACTAAAGAAAGAAGTTATTTTTAAAGATCCTTTAAAATTATATTTACAGATAAATGCTCATATATGTCCAACATAAGTACATCATAGCCAGTAGCAGAATTAACTTCATAATTCCTATAACAGAAAATCATTTTCTTTAAAACTGAAGAGGAATACCTTGGTTCTTTAGCTCGAAACCACCCAATGTTCATTCAAGAGGCACCAGTGTATGGGACTAGTAAAAACAGAGGACAGAGCACCTTGTCATTAATCCTATCCTTGGATCCTCTTTGGCCCCCCGGATGTCCATACCTGCTGCGTGAGGAGATTGATGTGGCTGGATGGAGAATACTGCCTTGCTGCCTGCTTCTCAGCTAGCCGCTGGAGTTCTGCTGTAACCATACTTTGGCTGTACCGCTTGCTGTACAGAGAACTATCTTCTCCCTCCTTTTGTGTTTTGGCTAGTCCTGAATGATGCTTGTTTGGATGGTATGAACCTGCTAAAAAGGAGAAAAGTTTTCACTCAAGCCCTGAAAAAAATCAGGATGATGACAGAGAAATCTCAGGTCAACAGATACTTTACTGAGTCTTACGGATCTTTAATAGCATCAGGAGCAATAAACTATCTTCAAACAGCCACACACAAAAAAATAAATCCTTACTGGACCTGAGAAAGTCTTCCTATTGCCAAACGGTCATATGAACTACTATTAATTTACTTTTGCTTACTCTGAAAGTTTCACAAAAAAGAATTTTCATCATATGTAGTCGGGAACAACCAACCCTAGAATTCATTAATCTTAATGAATAAAAAATATATCTTTTGAACTTATTATTTAATTCTTGTTTTTCTTGTTATGTGACTGTTCTTGTCAACAGTCAGTTGAATCACTGTCAAACCATTCACAATACTTACAAAGCTCAAAAGGGAAACAGGTATAAAAGCAAAATTGAGTGTACTGAGAAAAACAGCAATAGTCTTATATTTTCTAATGATTAATTTTCCTTTCAGATTTAAATTTTCTTCTTACAACTGTAATAGCAGAGAGTTCTATTACCCTGAGCATTGAAATTCTGGCAAAAAGAAGTTATTTAATATAAAATCAAGGCCCATATATTTTCTGATTAGAAAAATCACACAGCTCTTTGAAAAAAAATTTAAGACCCAGAAAAGTAGAAATGCTATAATGTGTATCTTTTCTGTCCTCTTATTAATGTCAATGTAACCATGATCATTCTGCATACACAATAGATTTTTAAAATCTAACTGTTTCATGTTTACTATATTTGGTACATACAAAACATATATAGTTCAAGTATAATGAACACCTATGAACTTAACACCCAGCCCGACACTCCACAACCAATGACATGCATTAACTTATGTGTTTGCTCCTCCTATCCCTAGTGTCCCCATGTCATTCATCCTCTTTGCTCATGTTTGTGTGTATGCATGTATAAACTAAATACTAGATAATTTTGCTTGTTTTTGAGCTCTACAAAAATGGTATCCTACTGCCAAAGCTTCCTGGGACTTGCTTTTGTTATTCGACACCACACTTCCAAGGTTCATCCTAACTAAGTATAGCTGAAATTAATTCATCTTGTTTTCTGTCTTGCATTCCATTTTGTAAATACACCACAGCTTATTTTCCTATTCCCTCAGCAATGGATATTGTGGTTACTTCAAGCTTATTGCTATTATAAACAGTGCAGACATAAACACTCTTGCATACATCTGCTGGTGCATATGAGGAAGAATTCCTATTGTGAAGATGCCTAGGAGTACAACTGTAGGGTCACAGGGGATGTGAATTTTCAAATTTATGCGATAATACTAAAGTAGCATTTTGTACACTTTATCAACAGACAAAAAAAAAGGTCCTGCTGACCCATTCCTTAACACTTAGGACTGCCAAAAATCTTAATTCTTCCCTTTCTAAGAGTATCATTGTAGACTTCATTTACCTTCACCTGATTAATAATGCTGTTGGGCATGTTATCTCTTTTCTGATATCATTTTTATACTGGGATTCCCTTTTGTTATTGACTTACAGGAACTGTGCTTTTGTTTTTACTTTTGCTTCGTACTGTAAGATCTTAAAGATAATCTTCTTTGTTTTATTCTGGAAGTTTTACATCTGAAATTGGATTTATGTACGGTGTAAGGCAGGGATCTAATTCTCTTTTTTCCTGTTTAGATAACCAATTACTTAAGAACCATTTAATGGGAAAGTCCTCCTTTTCCACTGATCTATAATGCTATCTCCATCATATATCAAAACATATCTATCTGTATGATTGTTTCTAACTTTCTATTCTGTTCCACTGGTCAGTTTGGCTGTATCTTTGTCAATATCACAGTCTTAATTATCATACTTTTATATGGTCTTAATAAGGAGCTGGACACTTACAGGTTTTCTAATGTTTTCTAACCTCCTACATTCCTTGAATAAACTTGCTATTTTTGCACTTGGGTTCAAAATGAAGTCAGGTTTGTAATTTTCTTAGTACTGTCCTTCACTGGTTTTATTAATAACAAGATGAAACTAGATACACAAAATAAGTTGAGTAATGTTCTTTTTTCCACACTCCAGAAGTTTTTTTTAAAATACTGGAATTATTGACCTATTGAAAAATTGTTAGAACTTACCCATTAAATTATCTGAGCCTTGTGTTTTAAGAGAAGATTTTTAACTACTGTGTCAGTTATTTTGATATTTATGGGACTATTCAGACTTTCTTTATCTTCTTGAGTCAATTTTACACAAGTCAAACTTTGTAGGAATTTTTTCATTTTGAGTAAGTTTTCAGTATTAAGTTAATAGTATTATAATATTTGTCATTTTTGGCATATTTGTGTTTTTCTTTTTCTTTCTTTTTTTTTTTTGAGTTGGAGTGTCACTCCATAGCCCAGGCTAGAGTGCACTGGCAGGCTCATGGCCACCCTAGCATCGACCGGCTGGGCTCTGGCAATCCTTCCACCCCAGCCTTCCAAGTAGCCGGAACGACAGTTACGCACTACCATGCCCAGCTAATTTTTTATTTATTGTAGAGATGAGGTCTCACCAAGTTGCCCAGGCTGGTCTCGAACACGTGGGCTCAGGCAGTTCACTCACCTCGGCCTCCCAAAGTGCTGGGATTATAGGCTGAGCTACCGAGCCCAGCCATATTTGTGTTTTTTATCCCTGCTTTTCCATTCCTTACATTATTTATTTATGTCTTCTCTTTTTTCTTGCCCGGTCTTCACCACAGGTTTGTCCACCTAATTAGACTTTTCAAAGAAGCACTTTTGGTTTTAATATCCTCTACTATACTTTATTTTCTAATTCTGTGATCTCTGCTCTTTCTTTTTTTCTTCTACAGATTCATGATAGTGGTGTTTTATAATGTCTAAAGTCAGATTTAGAATATTAATTTTCAGTCTGTGTTTTCAAATATATTTCAAATCTTTCAAAGTATTCATTGACTTATGTTTATTTTTATAGACAGGGTCTTCCTATGGTTCTCAGGCTGGCCTCAAATTCCTGGGCCCAAGCCATCTTTCCTCCTTGACTCCTAAATAGTTGGGACTATAGCTGCATGCCACTGTGCCCAGCTATAAGTAGTTAAGACAGTAAATTTCACTCCAAATACTGTCCTTCATTGTTCTCCATATATCTGGATGTGCAGTATTTTTTATTATTATTCTACTACTTTGTAATACATTTCCATTAGGATTTCTTCTTTAAGTCTTTTAAACTTTGAAATACATGAGGATTTGTTATTTGTCTTTTTGTTATTGACTTTCAACTTAATCGCACTGTGGACAAAAAATGTGGCTGCATGATGCCAAATCTTTGAAATTTCTTCTCTTATAACATATGATTTACTTTTATAACTATATCATGTGTGCTCAAGAAGGTATTTTCTCCAATTGTTGGGTGTATAGTCCTACATATAATCAATGGACAAACTTATCATTTTGTTAAAATCCTCTTGGCCTTTTCTGAGTTTAAAAAAATCTGTTTAATGTATTAATAATTAATAGAAATACGTGGAGAGACAGCAGATTTATAGATTCTTCATGTGGTTGTTTCAATTTTTGTGTTACACATTTGGTGGCTATTTAATTAGGTGTAGACACTTTTAGAAATGTTTTATCTTAGCCGGGCTCAGTGGCTCAGCCTGTAATCTCGCACCTTGGGAGGCTGAGGTGAGTGAATTGCCTGAGCCTGTGGGTTCGAGACCCGCCTGGGCAACTTGGTGAGACCTCATCTCTACAATAAATAAAAAAATTAGCCAGGTGTGATAGCGCACACCTGTAGTTCCAGCTACTTGGAAGGCTGAGGTAGAAGAATCACCGGAGCCCAGTAGGTCGAGGCTGCAATGGGCGGGAGCAGCAACCGCACTCCAGTCTGGGCAATAGAGTGAGACTCCAGCTCCAAAAAAAAAAAGAGAAATGTTTTATCTTTTGAGTGAACTGAACCTTTTGTCATTATGCAGTTACTCACTCTTTATCTGTAAGAAAGCTTTGTATCTTAAAGTCTATTTTAGCATATATTACTGTAACCACAACAACTTTCTTCTAGTTGGTAATTCCCTAGTATTTCTTTCTCTATCCTTTTACATTCTACCATTCTGAGTCCTCATCCTTAGATGTGCCTCTGATACACAGTACACAGTTGGATTTTTTAAAATTTCAGCCTGACAATCTTCTAATAATTTATGTTCAATATACTTATGTTTCTTCAATTCTTGACATACCTGAGCTTGATTTACCATGTCTTAAACATCTATTTCCCTTTCTTTTTCTGTGCTTCTTCCTTGTATACTATGCTTGTGGGTGTTTTTGGATTCAATTCATTTTATTCTCTCCATAGGGTTATAATTTACATATTTTATTCTTTTAGTGGTAACCTTTGAAATTTGGTACTGTATAGTTAACTTTAAAAAGTCTATAACTAAATAATATTTCAATCCCATTGTAAAACGATTCAATAGCCACAGAAAAATTTAACTCCAATCACTTATAAGCCACTGTTGTCTACTATACATTTTTGTCTATATATTGTTGTCAACTACTGTTTAAGCCATTCAGAATGTGTTCTTTGACCACAGTAGAAATAAGCTAAAAGCCAATTACAAAAAATAAGAGAATCCCAATCATCTGAAAATAAAATAAAATACATAGTAATCCATGGGTCAAAAAAGAAATCACAACAGGCAATAGGAAATATTTTTGAACTGACCACCTTCTTCTGTTCCCTATCCAACTCTTGAAAAGGACGAAAAGGGAAGATTTTGAAAAAAGTTTTGATGACAACACAGGGTAATTGGAGACGCTGATCTGATTGAATTTCTCACATAAGGGGAAAAAGTTCAAACTAAAACATTATTATTATTATTATTACGATTACTGATTTTAGAAAATTAAATTACAAGAACAATAATCACCCAGAATTAGCACACTAAAATATGCATCTGTTCATATTTATGTCATATTAAAGTAGACCACTTAATACCTCTGATTCAAGCTGCATATAACAATATCCATTTCACTTGAAGTCAAGTATTAAGAAATATAGATTGGCAATTACAAAATATGGCTTAGCTGTAGCTCAACTTAACATGGTTATTACTACTAAAGTGTTTAAAAACTTGACTGATATTGAGTCACTTCCCAAATTCATTTACAGATAATAATTCCTATCAAAAAGAAGAATATAAAATTGGAAGAAATCATCCTTGGTAATTTCAAAACTTATTATAATGCTATAGTAATCAAGACTATGTGATAAGGACAGACATATACCTTCATATTTATAATCAATTGATTTTGGACAAGAGCATTAAGACAATCCTATGGAAACAATATTCTTCTCAACAAGTGGTGTTGTGATGACTGAATATCCATATGTAAGCCACACTATACACAAAAATTAACTCAAAAATGGATAAAATATCTAAATGTATGAGCCTAAACTATTAAAACTCTTAGGAAAAAACACAGGAGAAAATCTTTGTGACCTTGGGTTAGGCAGAAGTTCTCCAGATATTATACCGAAAGCACAAATGACAATAAAAAAATAGATAAATTGAACTTTGTTAAAATTTAAAATGTTTGTGCTTCAAGAAAGTGAAAAGACAACCAGCAGATTGGGAGGAAATATTTCTAAATCATGTATTTGGCAAGGGCTTTTATCTAGACTATATAAAAATTACACTCAACAATCAAAAGGCAAACATATCAATTTTAAATTGGGCAAAGAATCTGAATAGACATTCTTCCAAAGAAGGTATGCAAATAGCTAATAAGCAAATGAAAAGATGTTCAACATCATCAGCCATTAAGGAAATGCAAGTCATAACCATAAAAAAGAGACACAATTTCATACCTACTAGGATGGGTAAAATAAAAAAGATAAGACAACTAGTAAGTGTTGGCAAGATGTGGAGAATCTGAAACCTTCATATATTGCTAGTAGTAAAATGGTGAAGCCACACTGGAAAATAGTTTGGAAGTTCCTCAAAAAGAGAAAATATAAAGTTATCATGTAATCCACCAGTTCTACTTTAACTATATACTCAAGAGAAATAAAAACATGTCCACATAAAACTTATACAAATGGTCACAGTAGTATAATGAGTATAGCCAAAAACTAGAAACAATCCAAATCCATCAACTGATTAATGCATAAACAAAATGTGGTATACCCACACAATGGACTATTATTCAACCATGAAAAAGAATAAAGTACATGCTACAACACAGATAGAAACATTATGCCAAGTAAGAGAATCCATTCACAGAAGACCACCTATTGTATAACTCCACTTTTATAAAATGTCCAGAACAGACAAATCTGTAGAAACAGAGAGTACATTAGTGGTTGCTAGAAGCTGGGAGAAGGAAGAAATAGACAGTGACTGCTAATAGGCACGAGAATTCTATGGATATGATGAAAATGTTCTAAAATTAGATAGTGGTGTTGGTTGCACAACTCTGTGAATACACTAAGAACGACCGACTTGTATACTTTTAAAAGGGCGAATTTTATGGAATGTGAATTATATCTTAAGAATGCTACATTTTAAAAATGAGGGGGAAACAACTGATAATATGGGTCTACTTAATTTAAACTGAGAAACCCTGTTTTAAGAATTCTTTGGTTATTTATTCAAGGTCATTCTTGACTTAAAATACTATTTTATCTAATGTCAGGAATAACCATTTGAATCACAAAGAATGCATATATATAGCACACTCCTAGGTCTATGGTTGTTTGTGATGGAAAATTCCTGACTAGACTGTAGGTTCCCAGTGAACAGAAGCCTTCTCATATTCATCTCTTCATCTCCAGTACCTAAAAGAAGTCCTGTTTCATTTCGTTATCAATGAATGCATGTTGCTGGACGAAATGCAAGAGTTTTCCTCAGTCACATTAAAACAATGTAGCATGTGTCCCTTTATCATTCAAGAAAAAAAAAGGCAAAGAGAAGAGATGATATTTTTCCTTATGGGGGCTGGGGAGGAGCTGATGTTGTGGGCTGCCTCTCATTTACTCACTCACCTGCCTTTGCTGAAGAGGGACGAGACAGTTTCTGGCTATAGATGTGTGCAGCACTTTGGAAAGAGGAAAAGGGGCCAATGGTGTAACTGCCTGATCGACAGCGTGGCAGGTCAGCAGGGCTTGGTATGTTCTGTGTTCCAGGATGTATGGAGGGAGAAGCATTGTCAGAGACTGTGTTCAGTAACACTGTTGGCTGGTGAGGCACAGTGGGGATAACTGGAGGAATTTGATATAAAGCAGAAAGGTGGCCAGTCCCTTGGGAGAGGTCAGAGGCTGCAGCAGATGGCAAATGGGTGTTGGGAATTTTCTGCAGAAGAGTAGCAGGAACAGAGAAAGGAGTAGAGGAAGAATTGGTATAGGCTAATTTAGCCTCTTTTTCTGCTGATGTGGTAAATCCTATTAAAACAAAAACAAAACAAAATTAAAAAAAAAACAGATCATGTTAGGAAAAATGGACATACAATCTCTATAAAACATAAACATTTTTAAAACATCAAAATAATCTTAGTATAAAGCAGAAATCATGAAAAATAGATTTTAATGAGTATTCATCATGAACTTATTAATGAATTTTTGCCTACCAGAGACAACCTAGCAACTGAAATAGGAATTTACTTTTAATCTTTTCTACAAGCTGGAGTAGGGACTACCTATACAAAACAGAGCAGGCATATTTCACAAATGTTAGGACATCAAGACACAGTTTCCATTAGCAACAGCTAATTTCTCTCCTTCTTTTCAGGCCTCTAAGAAAAAAGAAAGTGCTCAGAATTTCTAAACTTAAGAAAAGAAATCATTTGGAAGGAAAATAGGTTGTCAATAGATAAGAGGAAATTCTAAGAAAAAAGGAATAACTTCTTTGGGGTAATGTTCAATGCTTTAGAAATATTTACTATCTGATAACTATTTTCTTCTTTTAGGGATTTATCAAAGAGCAGTAAATTTAGGTAGGTTTGAAATCACTCACGAGATAATTTATCAGAATGAATTTCTGTTGCCTGTTGCTGTTTGGGCGGCTTTATTTTCACTTCTTCCACCATCTCAGGGTGATCTGAAAGAAGAAATACTGAGCTTAGGCTTTCTAACCAATTGCAAGGCCGCTGCTCTATACATAATTTTGTTTCCAAAAATATAACACAACTACTAACCAAAGCTGGGAAACACTGCATGTTTCCCCATACTTTTCAGCGATGGCCACACCCACAGCCCATTAAGTGAGCAACCGGTCAAATGATTCCCAGTTATTCCCTACCTAGCTCCAACTAACTGAACTGGGGCAAGGTATCTAAACCCAAGGCAGTCATCCATGGACGGTCAACCAGTTAGGACATGACTGGAAAAAATAGTCAGTAAAGGCAGTCAGATACTTCTACCAGAAATTCAGACTGGAGATCTAAGAGATCAAGTTGATTGGTGATACCCACTGGAGCCAAAAAGAAATAACATATATGGAGCAGAGAAGCTACCATGAGTTAAAAAGAGCAGTTCCACTATTTTTTGAGAATAATACCTGGATACTACAATGGCTCAGTATCGTAAACTCTTTAGCATTATTTGAAATAGGCTGATCAGTATATTCGATAATAAAATCACTACAATAAATTTCAACTCTAATACAGTCGTTTTTCTCCACTACACAATTTTCAAGCAAAATAGTCACAGCTAATCATATAGGTGAGATATTCTAAAACTTTTGTCAAGGACTAGGTTCACACAAAAATTTAAGAAAGGCCATCTTTCTTAAAACATTTTTAAGATCATCTTTCAAAGGATAAGAACATATGAATCTCTCCTGTTCATCACCACCAGCAGTGATAATAGTGTCCCACATTTGTTTGCTCATGTTTGAAATTAGTCCAGATGCTACACTACCAAATGTCACAATATCATTTCCTTGACTGAGGCCTTCCTACTGCCACTCTTAGTTATTTTTAATGGGTATAGAGAGGTGTAGATCGTTTTATGGAAAGGCAGTCCTTAACACATGAGCCCTAGAATTTCAAATGACCTATCTGTACAAAAGTACTGACACGGCATACTGTTTCCCCATTACTGCCAGGGGAGAAGCTACTCCATGAATGCCCATCTAGGCCCCACCCCCTCAGGTCAGCACACTATTTCTACCCTAACCCCATTACGAGACTTCCTTAGCCTCCCTTCCCAACCTTCTTGTATTCACTCACCCAACTTCATCTACCAGACAACAGACTTTATAAAGTTAAAGACTATGACAGGCTGGGCTCGGTGGCTCAGCCTGTAATCCCAGTGCTTTGGGAGGCCGAGGTGAGTGGATTGCCTGAGCCCACAGGTTCAAGACCG